GATTTAATATTTAGTTCTGAGAAAAAATAATATTTCAGTAGCTAGACTGGGGTTTCTTTATATTAGAAATTAGACAAATATTGCTCTGGCTACCAGGAATTCCAAGGCTAAATTTAATGCTCATTATTTCACTTAGGTTACTGATATAAGTACCCGTTCAATTTTTGTAAAGCACATAGATCTGTACGCAAAAAATCATGCAAACAATTTTAAAAGATTCACAGATCTTCCGATGCCTATCTACTTCCTCCCGAGAAGTCACAGATCTCAAGTTAAATAGCTTTGTTGTAAATGGTTTATAATTTCTTTCTATGTTGTTATAACTCAACTAAAATCTTTTCTGAAAGTAGAATATACATATATTAAAGATATATGAGATGTGTAAGTTAAACATACTGATTAGCTGAATATTGTAAATATTGATGATAATTACCCTTTCCATTCTCGTAACAGGCTGTTAATGATTCCCTTTAATACTGTCTTCTGAATGTCTTGAGGCTGTAGGCAAAAGAAAATAATAAGATAATTAGGATTAGCTACTTAGATGACTTACATGTTAATTATACATACAGATGTTTTAGTAGTTTAATATCAAACCTGATGACTAAGGACTGAACTTACGGTAGTATCGATTTTACATTGAGAACTCTAGGGAGCACCAATGACATAAGATTACAAAGAGAATACTCCCTGGTGTGTGCCATGTTACAACCTGCACAAACATAGATGGGGTCCTTTGATGAACAACAGCAGTTTATATAATTGAAAAACAATTTCACTTTCCCTGACTTAACAGGATAAAATCACGAACATGAATCCAAGAGTAGCACGTTTACCAATATAAAATGATTGCATATATTTTGTATGTATTTAGTTCTATCAAGTTACAATTCACACTTAAACTGGCAATTCATCATTAAGTGCAACCAAATTATGTTTAATTAAAAATATAACAAGATAAAGATTTTTTCATTTAAGGACAGATTTTAAAAAGGCATAAGATAACATTACTTTATATTATAGTTTAATAA